CAAGGCACCGTGGTGAATTTTTAAAATAATTTTTTTTTCCTTTTCATAGGTCTAATACTCAGATCTACAGTATAATTTGCCTTATCAAAAAAATAACAAATAAGATTAAGGAACACAAATTATTTAAGGCAAATAGAAAAATAATGATGAATGATGGAAAACAATGTGAAGAGGTCATAACAAAAAGGTGCATGGTTAATAATTAAGCAATATAATAAATATTTGAAAAGAATATGGAGATATGCAATTATAAATTTGCTTGTCTATTGCTTTTCATTTCCACTCATGCATGATCAGAGCACGCATTTGGAAACTGTTACAATTATCAATTGTTGCTTATCCACAATTTTGTAATAGTCACTAACTACAAGTGTGTTGTAAATTACTTTACAGGTTGCTTTCCCCGTCTTGGAGAATTTGGAAATTTCGGAATTGCCTAACATAATAGAGATATGGGAGAAGCAATTACTCATAGCCCCAGAAAACGAATCAAAGTCCTGCCGACTTGAAGATTTGGAGGTTTCTAGTTGTGAGAAATTGGTTCATGTGGTTTGGTTCAATATGCTCCCACGAGTGCAAAATCTGAAAAGATTCAATGTAGAAAAGTGTCCAAAGATGGAAGGAATAGTCGCGGAGAAAGAAAAAGAAAAAGGAACCACCAGTAATGATATCATCGTGTTCTCTCAACTAACAACTCTTAGACTTTCTGAGTTGGTGAGCCTTAAAAGTTTCTACAACTGGCGTACAAGATTTGAAGCACAACCCTTGTTCAACCACCAGGTTTGATTTTCCTAATTTATTTTATTAACCCTGTCCATGAGAAAGTGTGCACCCAAAAAAAATAAATTAAAATTCCTTTTCAATTACAATTTTAAATTTGAAACTTATTTGAATATTCTCTTTCTATCCAAATCCAAATAAAAGTAAAATAATTTGAAGGTGGACATGCTAGGGGCCTAGGATGGAAATTACATTATTACCCAAACAAAAATATGTATGAATTCTAAATTTAACACTATATTTTTATTTTGAATATGAATCTTAATATGATTTTATTTGGCTAAAATTATGTCCAAAATTGTAATTTGCCTAATCTTGGTTTGGGGTTCCTTAAAAAAATATTTAAATATTGGATGTCATACTGGATATCATATTTCGAGTTCAAATAATTTGATTTGTTTTACCATCTTAACTTAAATAGATATGCCAAGAAAATGAATATTAAATTAAATAAGAAGCTATCAATATAAAAAATTATCAAGGCACCGTGGTGAATTTTTAAAATAAAATTTTCTTCCTTTTCGTAGGTCTAATACTCAGATCCACAGTATAATTTGCCTTATAAAAAAAATAACAAATAAGATTAAGGAACACAAATTATTTAAGGCAAATAGAAAAATAATGATGAATGATGGAAAACAATAAGAAGAGGTCATAACAAAAAGGTGCATAGTTAAAAATTAAGCAATATAATAAATATTTGAAACGAATATGGAGATATGAAATTATAAATTTGCTTGTCTATTGCTTTTCATTTCCACTCATGCATGATCAGAGCACGCATTTGGAAACTGTTACAATTATCGATTATTGCTTATCCACAATTTTGTAACAGTCACTAACTACAAGTGTTGTAAATTACCTTACAGGTTGCTTTCCCCGCCTTGGAGAATTTGGTAATTGCTAAATTGCCTAACATAATAGAGATATGGGAGAAGCGATTACTCATAGCCTCAGAAAACGAATCAAAGTCCTGCCGACTGAAAGATTTGAACGTTTATAATTGTGAGAAATTGGTTCATGTGGTTCGGTTCAATATGCTCCCACGATTGCAAAATCTGAAAATATTCAAGGTAGGCAATTGTCCAAAGATGGAAGCAATAGTCGCAGAGAAAGAAAAAGTAAAAGGAACCACCAGTAATGATATCATCGCGTTCCCTCAATTAACAACTCTTTATCTTTCGGAGTTGGCGAGCCTTAAAAGTTTCTACAACTGGCCTACAAGATTTGAAGCACAACCCTTGTTCAACCACCAGGTTTGATTTTCCTAATTTATTTTCTCAACCCTAGCAATGGGAAAGCGTGCCCAAAAAAAAAAAAAATTTAAAATTCCTTTTCAATTACAATTTTAAATTTGAAACTTATTTGAATATTCTCTTTCTATCCAAATCCAAATAAAAGTAAAATAATTTGAAGGTGGACATGCTAGGGGCCTACGATGGAAATTACAATATTACCCAAACAAAAATATGTATGAATTCTAAATTTAACACTATATTTTTATTTTGAATATGAATCTTAATATGATTTTATTTGGCTAAAATTATGTCCAAAATTGTAATTTGCCTAATCTTGGTTTGGGGTTCCTTAAAAAAATATTTAAATATTGGATGTCATACTGGATATCATCATCGAGTTCAAATAATTTGATTTGTTTTACCATCT